AGCTAGTGAATGTGTATTCCGATGATGTCATCTCAAACTTCGAGCGAGTTCAAGAAAATGTGTCTTCCTCAATACTCGAAAACGCGGGCAGCCATGCAGAATTCAATGAACAAGGTCAGGCATCTGGATGTTGAGATTCAATGAACAAGGTCAGGCATCTGGATGTTGTGCCAACATCTTTGAACGACATGAAAAGCGTCCTTTCCAATATCAAGATATGTGCTTGGTAGAGTTTGCAAAGTTGTTAGAACATGACGCAAAAGCACAAGACGATATTCAAGTTAATATCGATTAAGATGGATATGAAGAGGTAGAAAACCCTGCAAGAGGAAGAGAGATCATCACGCTCACTGATAGAACACAAATGCTGAAAAGAACTGTTCCAGCAGTTGCTAGAGTGCCATAACTTGGGGTTGCAACAGATCATGAAAACTACTATTCTAGCCCTCTGGTTCAATGCAAACCATATAGAAGTTATATTCTTGGTTCTTTCGGTAAAGTCACGTAGAAAGGAAATCATAAAATAAAACCACAGCAAGAAAATTTTCTTGCTGTGGTTGTCACACCTGATGATGATATGCTTGTGTTGCAATCGAAACGTCGTGAAAATTTCATAGTTTTATTTGTATTATTTTATTATTTCCCTTCTACGTGACTTTACCGAAAGAACCAAGAATATGAATCCCTGCGGTCACGAAAGCTCTAAATCATACAGAAGTTAACAAGAGCTATTGCAAGGATTTGATACTGCAAATGAAGCATTTCTGGCAAATGAACAACAGCTCAAACAGCTGAGTGACCACGTGCAAGTGCATCGTGAACGCGACGGACAACTGGAGAACGCATTACATCAAGTTCATGCACTCAACAATCTCGAAGAAGCTGTACCAGTTCAAATGGAAGATGAAGAAGAAGAGGTGGCAGATGTGCCAATGGATGGAAAACAATTCCAATCGGCACATAGAGCAATGAACGTAGGACCACAGGAAATGGTTTGAATGGTCGCAAAAAATCATTAAAATACATTTGCATGAAGACCCTGAGAGTGAAGACTCGTGAACACTTAAGAGTCTTCATCACTGGTCGAGCTGGAGTGGCCGAAACATTCCTACTGAAATTGTTGAAATATCAAATCAATCGTTGCTTTTGCAAAGAAAGCTGTCATAGTCTGTGCATTAATTGAAGTCGCTGCGTGCCTTATCGGTGGCACAACTCATCATTCCACATTCAAATTGCCTGTTCAAAGAGATGGTTGAAGTGCTACCATGTTACCATTAACCCGACATTACTTAAGAACCACACGACTACAATGGAAGGACATTGAATGCATCATCATCGATGACATTTCAATGGTCTCATATCAGATGCTATGCATGATTGATATGCGTCTTCGACAGCTGAAGAATAAGTATGATCAATTTTTCGGTGGTATCAATGTCCTGTTCTTTGGCGATTTGATGGAGCTTCCTCCAGTTAGACCGAATAACACAACTGTCACTCCTATATTTGGTCAGCCAGAACATCTACAACCAGCCACTCATCGATGGAGATGATTCACACTGTGCGAGCTTAAAGCAAATATGAGACAGCAAGTTGATAATACGTTCATCACTGCACTGAATGCACAGCGAGTTGGAAAAATGAGAGCTGAGCATTCCGCAGTATTGGAAAGCAGACGTCTTCAACAACCAATTGGAGAGTTTGCCATTGATAAAGCTCTGTGAATCTATCCAACGAAGAATCAAGTTAATGCTCATAATGAAGCAGTGCTTCAATACTTCAGAGCTCTTAAGAGCCCTATGTACACAACAACAGCACAAAATCAATTAGAGGATGCCGCAAGAAATGTTGAAAATATCAAAATAAACACAATCATTCCAAAGGACATCAATAAGACTGTAGGCTTACCACGTGAATTGCTAATATTTATAGGAGCCAAAGTCATGTTAAGATCCAACATTGATGTCTCGAAAGGACTTGTAAATGGTGCTGTTGGATATATCCTAAAAATCACTTGCCCTATTCCTAGTCGTGCAATTGCACGAAAGACAAATACCCGAAATCGTTGCAATAGACTTTGGCCAGGACGACACACACCGAATCAAGCCGAAATCAGTCCAGTTCCCTGTTACTCGTGGCTATGGTACAGCTGAACGAAGAAAGCTGCCACTAAATCTATCATGGCCATCGACACTGCACAAAATGCAAGGATGTACAGTGGATCATGCAGTCGTGTACTTGGGATCAAAGCTCTTAGAAGCAGGTCACACATATGTTGCCTTAAGTTGTGTTCGCTCGCTGGATGGACTTCCAATTGAAGATTTGGACAAACTAAAACTAACTGGAAAGACACCATGCTATAATGAAGCGTTACCAAAAATTGATGACATTCAAAATCATCAACCAAGTTTAAGAAACTCGATTTGTGTCTCAAGATCTTATACACACAAATATGGTTGAGTACATTGCAAACAACATCAAGGCAATGTATCCAGTTAAGAACAGTACTCTCGGATCGCACTATAAAAGGTAAGGTCCACAAAATAAGTAGACTTAGTCTTAGACTGAGTCTATTTTTTGCAAGGATTTCTAAAAAGTATCAAACAATATTCCTTGTGAAAAAATCATTGTTAAAATTAAGACTAAAAATTGAAAAATAAACTCCTTAAAAACTTTTTTTTAAACAACGGTTTTATTTTAAAGTGCACTCAAAAGTAAAAAAATACTTTTTTCAGCCGTCACCAGCTGATCAGAATATTATTTTACATTTGTAAATAAAAAATAAAACCGTGGGGCGCTCCTTTAATATCACTATTATCCTAATCGATGACCAAGAATAGCTAAAGATGATTATAAACACATGGTAGTCAATAGCATGACATTATATAGCAGGGCTATCTCTATTTGCTCTTACCAATCTCATGATGGTACATTGTTGGTTTAGATGCCTCTATGTGTTAGTAGCACGTTTAGAATCATCAAAACTATTCCATGCTAAAATTCGAATATTTAGCTTTTGAGGAGTTGGAACTAAGTATAATATGAAATGGGCTTGTAGCGTTCCTTTGTAAACTAAAGGCTCACAATATGAAGGGAGTGGTATCTGATATCACTAGAAAAAGGTAAGGTGTAAGGTCCTAGGCAACGCAGAATATGCGTGATATGGAATTTTACGTATAAATAATAAAAGCCTAGTCTTAAATTCTAATACAAAGTTCACCATTCATCTGCAAATCTCGACGAGCAAATTTTACTTATCAAAAGTTAAAACTTCACAACATAAGTAATAACTATTTGAAGCAATTGAAACGCACATGTCGACTTGGTTATGATAGGAACATTAACAAATGCATAAACAATAGCTAAAATAATTACAAATACTTTACAAATAGCTTCAACATAATTTGAACCAAATCTTCCACGCTTTTATTATATTATCGGATAAAGCAAACATCGATTGCATTATCGATATATAGTAATTACATGTACATGTCATTTATGTACTTATCTTCCCTTCGACTAATCTACTCTGACCAATAATAGAAGTTGCCATAGGGGTTTATGTATACTTTGGATCACTTTGCAGTCAACTGTTCTTAATAAAAGCAGTTCAACACAGATATGAGTAGAAAGCTGCTAATACGGAATTAATAATTATACTCAAAACACTTGTAAATGTTCTACACTTCATCGCAAATGACATCATTATCAACATTTTCCCTTCTACAAAAAATGATTGGAAATCGTTTATACATACATTATATCATGCAAATACACTTTTATCAAACTCTAAAATTCTAAAGCAACTCATTATGCATAAAACTATTCAAGGAGCGCCCCATGGTTTTATGTTATAGTTACAAATGTTAAATAACATTCTGATCAGCTGGTGACGGCTATAAAAAGTTATTTTTAACTTTTGAGTGCACTTTAAAATAAAACCGTTGTTTTCCAAAAACATTTTAAAGGAGTTTATCTACAACAGAAATCATGTGTGCAGTCATTGGTGACTGGCTCAAACCACCAACTCATGACACTCAAGAACCTTGTTTCATCACAGGTGGTTGAACCCAAATTTTAAGCCAGAAACACAACTGTGCCAGTTCCTGGCTCAGTCCCCTGAGTTACCTGGCCACCATAACGGTTGTTTTGAATGTTTTTGGACACGAAATACAAACCCTAGGCCTCTGTCTGCCTTGGGGCGATATATATATGAAAATATTATTTAAAAAATAATCCCTATTTAATCCAAACCAGTGAATTGTCCAGTAACACCATCATGTGTACGTTCCCAAATGCAAGCCTCTTTATAGAATGTACAGGTTTTACATATAATCCTTTACAACCCATGCATTCAGCGTCACCATATTCTCTGTAGAAAATACGAAACATTATATTCTGCAGTTAATACATCTTCTTTAATCCCTTATTATATTTGCCACGTTTGCTTTGTGCGATTGGTTCAATGTTTGTGAATGTAAGCAGGTGTTTTTGGCATCTAGTAGGCATGTCGAGATTTGATCACAATTTGGTCACAATTTTACTTGAAAAGCAATTTACGTTTGTCTTGTGAATACTGTTTCATTTTCCCTATCTCATTTGTACAAGTTTGTTTGCTCCATTAGCCCAAATGTAACAGCATGCCATTTGCATGTCATTTTCGCAAATCATAAATTATTGATTCTTACAATTGAATGCATGCACCGTGAACATTTCAATATATTCTTACCTGAAAAGATTGATCAATTAATCGTTACGTGCCCAGCATCCAGGCCACAGAACGAAGTCAATGACCACATGGGTGGCCCTCAGAGGCACCGCCGCTCACTCACCCTTTGTTTAAACTTGTGGTCCCGTTATTCAGCCTCGCCAAGTTTTCGCAACAATGGCAGGACTACTACAGGAGTACCCCACAACTCGGTAGCCCTGCATTTTCTGCACCGTGCAGGGGTGTGGTGGAGTGCACAGCGGTCACTGTGAAGTGCTGATGCAGGTCATACCGGAGGCAGCACATCTCCTGTGAAGCGGCGCACGGGGCAGGGCTTGCGGCGGTAAATGCCCTCAGGGGGGACGCGCTGCCGCTTGCCCACGTGCTGTTGCTGCTTCTGCTGTCGGATCCGCATCATCTGCACGCGCTTTTGCCGGTGCCTGATTATCACTGCACCACCGTCCAAGCACATGGCAAGATAAGATGTCACCATGGATTTTGCAGCCGTCGTGAACAAATTTACTCGTGCAGCCAGAGGATGATGATAACAAAGGAAAAATATATGGTGGTATACAGTCAGGTGAATTTTGGATGTTGGATGTCAACTGAAACCATGATGAAATCTCGAGGGAGAAAGAGATGACAAGACGTGGTGGCAGCAATGGCAATGATCAGATTTTTATTGCACCCTTGAATGCCATTCAGCAGTGATAATATGGGAGCATGCAAGTTATGATTGTTATTTCAGGATGTAAGGTTATCTTTGAATTGCGGCCAATGCTTTCAATCCATTCTCCAAGAAAGAGCATGTCACCACTGTTGTCATCACCGTCATACCTTCGGCATGGTTGGGTCTCTCGGCCGTCACCTTCCACTGCACGAGGATGCCCAGCAGGCCGAGCGTGGGCCACACGGACAGCACGGCCCAGCTGTACCAGCAGAATGTCGCGCTAGCGCTGTTGGGCGAGCGCAGCCTGTCGGAGGCGTAGCGCACAAGTGCGAACATCTCCACAAAGTAGTCGACAGCGGCGGTCACAACGGCCGCTCCGAACGCTGACGTGGAGAGGACTACGAAGGGCTTGGGCCACTGCAGCGTGAGCACTGCGAAGAGCATCCCCGAGCCCACAAGCGCGCCCAGCGGCACCCAGGCGGTCGGCGGCCGGTAGTAGGGCTCTATGGCCACAAGGGTCGTGGCGGCCAGCAGCAGGCCCAGCAGGAGGCCCGTGGTGAAGAGGCCGACTGTGCGAACTAGCATAGTCACGAGGCCGCAGAGCAGGCCGATGGCCAGGCCGATGCCCGCACTGGCCTCGAGCGTCAGTTCTGTGTCCAACACACGCTCCTTGTGGCACAACAGGAAGATGACGACGGAGCCGAACATGAGGCCTGTCAGGAACATCACTGCCTTGATGCAGCGGTAACCTGCATGAGAGAGATAGCAGGCGCAGGGAAAGACGTCTTTTGCTGGACCATTCTTGGTACAGTTACAAGCTGCTGAAGAGTGATTAATACACAGTCACAACAGCAGCCAGTGTATGCTGCCTTAACATGAATAGTTGGTGTCCAAAATGTCCTGTTACCTCTTGGTTACCTAAGTCTGTCTTTGATGTACCTGTGTGTACTTCGAGCCCGATTTACCCATAGTCTCATATTTTGTAGATCCTCCTTAAGGCCCTCCATTCCATATTGAAGTAAGAGCTGAGCGACGATCGCACACCCATCAGATATTTTGCCTTTGAGTTACCATGACATCATCCATGACTTTTTCATAGCTAATGCTAGGAAAAAAATGTGTTGTTTGTTTCAATAAATTAGTGTAGTGAGTGATTTATGTTTGATGAATTTACCTTGGTAGAATACATTTGTCAATTTTACATCGTGCAATTTGTAATACAACATACATACTTATGCCCTTCCCTCCTATTAGCCTTAGGTCCCTCATAACCTTAATCTGGCCCTGTGTGTACCTATGTTAATATGATGGCAAATACTTTAAGAGCTATACTTTGGAGGAGGATATTCTAGCAAGAGATTGGGTTCTTGAAGTGGCAATGAACACAATAAGCATTCTCAAATGTGCATATGAAGCTAAAGGTGAATACTTGGACGGTATGAAAGTTGTGTGACCCATCACAACTTGTGCTTTAATACAAGACATTACAATTATATTTAATCATATTGTTACTTGTCTTTACCCATAGAGAAGTCAGTTTGATGATGCAGAAATCACAGATTCACTTTGGTCAGTCGCTCACAGGCGACCAGTCGCCTCCTCATCACTCTTCTGTCGCTACTACCATGGTTACGATTCCCATGAACTTAACCCATTGACTCCTCCACCCGTTTTGAAGACGCGGTCTACCAGACGGTTTTGTCTCGTCTACACCGTGTTCAACCGCCATACTGCAGGTTCTATTTCTGGCTTTCCCTCCATGTTTTGCAAAAATTGTATAACTTTGCTCAATTCAATAACCTTGCTTAAATATTACACCTTTAATAATGCTGTTTGTTGCTGGCCACTTGGTATTTCAGGCCTTTCGGCCTGTGTTCAGCAATACTGATAAAAATACAAATCGATGCTCTGTGGGCAAGAGGGCTTAGATGGGGATGTGTGTGGTTCTCAAATGTTACACTCATTCTAAACTCAACCTACTCTGCAGCGTTGTTTGTGCAGGCTACTGTATATCCATGGGCATTATTCTTAATGAGCACATTTCATGGATAGCTTACAACATTTCAAAGAGAACATGTCTCCTGCTTTCCATGCAAGGAGTGAGTGTTAACTTTGCTCCATTTTTTACATTTTGCCCCGAGCAGTAAACTGTAACCCGAGTCTTACGCCGGTGTAATAAGGGCTTGACCATTGCTACCCCACCAAAGACTAAAGCAAGACTGATTGTGGATGGGCGACCCCGACCTCAGCCACATCTCACCGAAGAAGCAGTAGACGATGCCGAAGACGCAGCATGTGCCGCAGATGGCCGTGGGCACCACAGTGTACGAGCGCTCGATCTCGTCCTTGCAGTCGCTCCACACGCCACCCTCCGGCACCCAGTCCAGGCCATAGGGCCTCGCCGCAGGAGTCGGTGTCGGGGCTGAGGTGGCAGCGGCAGCATCGATGGTGGCCGGGGAGGTCATGGTGGCGGAACGGGGGACGGGGCGGTCCGCTTGTGACCTCGCTGTGGCTCCCTTTTACGTCGTCATCATGCCGCAGGGCTTAGCACGGGCAAAGCACGGGCACAGGCGTGGTCCACAATAGGCCTGCAGGGTAGCGTGCATCAGCACAGATGTGAGACTCGCCCAAGACCAAATTAATAGCCAAGCGGTGGTGGTGCACGCCTGTAATCCAGCACTGGACGCGAGGGTTGGTGAATCGCACAAATGTTGTGAAACTCCCTTCCTGTAGCGATCGAGGTGCCATACCGTGGCTCGCCAAGATAAGCCAGTACAGCGAGTGGACTAATCGCCATCCGTATCTATCTGTAAATATCGAGAGTTTTGCCCCCTTGGCTGAAAACATCTTAAAATAAAAGACAACCTAATACAGAACCCTCATGAAAATGAGTCCTATGACTTAGTGTGGCTTTCCTGGATAAGTGCATTATAAATATTACATTATTATATGAATGTGCCATACCTCAGAAGCTAAGCAGGTCTGAGTCCGAATAGTGCTTGGAAGGGTTATCACTGCACAATGGTTGGCACAGGGCTGCAGGGGCTTTAGGGGCTGCCTGGTTGGCAGAGGGCAGTACAGAAATATATATCGCTGTACTGTACTTCTATGCTCCGCCATCTATGCTCTCTGACTTCACCAACAAGCGCTGGGCAGGGTAGATTGACAAAAAAGGGCTCTACACACAGTGGCGGCTTGTCACATTTCCACTAGATGGGCTGTTATGAGTGACCTCTGAAAATATGGTTTTCTAATTAAGAAAAAGCTCCTCGTCATGTTATTGGCCTTCCCGTGAATGTGAAATAACTGTCTAATCTACCAACGGCAGACATGTAGAAACAATATGAAACAAATCAACAAAGCATTTAAATGCTTACTCTTTGGTTCTTTCGGTAAAGTCACGTAGGTAAAAAAAGAAGAATCATCACATTTAGTTATTTAAAATTGTTGTTTTATTTTATTTATTTTTTACCTACGTGACTTTACCGAAAGAACCAAAGAGTATGGGTCCTTGCAGTCACGAAAACTTCAAATCTAGAATCACTTAAATGCTGTCCCCATGACCATCAAGTCCACACTACACGACCCCTTTGACAACGCCAAAAGCCTAAAGAACAATTAAAGATCAGCTGACACGACTCAACAAATTAGCCAAGGCAACCAAGACACCGCGTACTGAACAACATCAGCCACACACCGTCGTACACCCGCCTACACAAAAATGGCCCAGTTGCTTGACATTCAACTGCTCCTGCATAGTCATCCTTTCAAATTGAATATTTAGGAGTGACTCCACAGTATTCCTATTCTTTGGTTAATTCTGTGAAGTCACGCTGATAGAAAAATAAATGTAAAAAAAAGACTAAATTAACAAAAAAACATTTATAACAAAAAATGTTATCTTCGTGACTTTACCGAAAGAACCAAAAAAATATGACTCCACAGTGTTTGTTGCTAATTCTTCGTTCGCAGCACCTGCTGCCATCGTCATTGCTGTTGTTTCCTCCTGCAGCGTGTAGACCGTGGGTTGCTCTATTTGCACAACGCAACCTCGTCTCGTGACATCGTCTCACTACAGCCACGGGCGCCTTTTTCACCGCCCTGAATGGGTCTCGAACGGCGTGGCTACAATGCTAGAAGCTCATCGCAACGAATGAAGAAGGGACATCTCTCACTCAGACGCCTTCACAGCCGCACCGAGACCTCCCCGAGGGACAAATGGTGTTGCAGCGGTTTCAAATATGAACAACTTAAAATGTTATCTTCATTAGGCAATTCACGTTGAAAGAATCATTATATAAAAAAAAAATGTAAAAACAATGTATAGAGAAGTATTTTCATTAGAAAATAATTTGGTGCCCCAACGCCCCTAGTGGACGAACTGCGCCTGGCTGTACATGAACATGAACCTGAATAATATGCAGGGCTCTGAGGTAGCCAGGAGATGGCTATACGATCTTTGACCCATATGTGTGAATTTCTGAGCGTCATCTCATCATATATGTAAGTTTTCTCCATTCAGATACACTCCACTAATCTGTCTCGCATCGGCGATCCGGAATATGTTACCACACCACCGAAACGCAATGTGCCACTTGCTATGGCTACTCGTCACATGCATCCCATCTACCAGCGGCTTGGGAGATATTCAGTGGCAAATGAAGCCTCGAGTATACTGAACAAAGAATTGGCCCAATATCTCTTGAAAAACAGTATTGTTAATCACTGAAAGCATCTTCCATTATTTTCTTACTCAACACATTTCAGTAATACCGTATTTGAGTAGTTTTCGGTGATTAGAGGGTGAAAGTAGACAAATAATTAACTCGGTAAATAGATTATTGTTATATACAAGTGAATATCGCTCGGATTATAAGCTACTCGTTATAGTGGAATTTGGGACATTGCTCAGTTGGTAGAGCAGCAATGTGTCTAATCGTGTGACTTAAAATCCATCATCCCTGTGGTGGGGCGGGGAGTCTGTGAAACGATTAACAGCAGGTAAACGCAACGGTGATTACCTACACAAAACAAAGGAAGGTTCACAAACAGGACCTTTCCATTGGTAAATACAATTTCCAAGGACTGCTATTTGTTGATAAGTGCTGCCCATTGCTCACTGGAGCTTGGGCACATCGTTGCTTTTAAAATATATGGACTTCATATTTTTCGATAAACAGCAATTCAATTCAGAGCTTCCTTTTGCTGATGAATGTTAATAGGTGTGACTTTTGCGTGTGAAATCATTTATTTGTCGTGTTACAACCGTGTCGGGAGCAGGAAAAAAAGACGCGTGTTGTAATTTAGTTAAACATTTTTAATAATTTTGTTTATCGAAAGTGTGACTATGCTAATGAGGTACAATGATTAAAGTCGACAATTTTCACCGGGTTCAGAGGAAGTGACACCTGCTATGTTTCCCCTCGAGTCTCTGCGGAACAGGGAAGGCCGCACTTTTATTTCGCATGCAGTTATGTTACTGCAATAATACATCCTCTTTATTTTTGTAACAGACACGATCCCGTGTGGTATTATTCATCCAAGAACGTATAGCATTCAAGGAAATATATTTTTTTGTGTTCTCTACGCAGAAAACAGCATTTAGTTCGGCATTCGCCTCTGTGTCGTCGTTATTGCCGTTGTGTACACGTTGCTCGCCCCTGAGCATCCTCTCCCATAATAAACAAACCCCTCGTCGCATCTCAGCAGGGTGGAGGGATGGGGGAGACTCTCCTTGTGAGTGGTCACACCGCAGGGATGAGCAGACGTGGCAAGCCCCGGCTGTTTAAAAACTCGTGTCACTTTGTCGATATTGACGAATGGGATTTTGAAGAAGGGCATTTAATTATATATTTCTTACTATCTATGACTCCATAATGTTAGAATGTTCTTTTTTTTCTCTTCTTATTTCCCAGCAGGGTGATCGCATGTATTTTGTTTCAATGAAAACGTAGACAAGTTTTCAAATGCGATCAATAGCAAACAAACGAATGCAATCCCACTGCGAACTGATGGTGCTTCGAGACGAGGCTGGCCAGCATGAACAACCCGTACCTAATGCACAGTGCGACTCGCTCTGGTTGCATAAGCAAAAACCCACAGCCAAAAAGCAGTGATTCTTTGCACATCACCGACCTGTCATAACCCTGAAACCAACCTCGCTAATGATTTCTAGACTCGTAAAAACATGCCCGAGGCCGCCAGAGCCAAGTTTAACTACCCTAACACATTTTTAACAAACAAAAATCTCACGGAACAATGTCGAGGATGAAATGCCACTCGCATGTGGCAATGCATTCTCCCTTTGAACATGGCTTAATACAGTATTGCTGCATCACAGGGTTCACTTGCATAATGCCTTCTTCAGCAGCCACACAGCTTAAGGTGTTGTTAATCTTTTGAACCGAAACTTAGCGCTCAGCGGAAATGTCTGGGTGCAGTCCAGGTGTGTTTATTGATTGATGCAGTCAGAGTGTGCTTGTGATGTAGAGCAAATTTCAATTATGCCACTCTCTATTAGTGTGTAATCTGCAAAGACCACAATCATTAATTTTAATTGCCACTAGGGGCTTCGTGACTGGGCAGCCATGTGTAAACGAAATATGTTGAATCCTACATGCTACACCAAGGTAGAAAGCGAACAAGAAAGACATATCGCTTTTCACAGTCATATACTCCAACAGTTTTTTTAATGGAAATATCTCAACATATTTAATGAGGCTTGTTGGTTATTTTGCCTGCACGAATACCGATTTTGTCCGCGACCTTCTTCCATGCATGTTCTTTCACAAAAAAAATCATCAACAGTGCACATGTACAATGTCTCTTTGTTTGAAAACACTATCTGGAATTACCTTCACAACATCACATCGGTATGCTTCGTGCATATTACTCAACCCACTCTGAAAATCCAGGCTTAAGCCATTTTTTTTCTATTCTGTATTAAACCTTCAATTTCTGTATTAAACCGTCATGCATTAAACCTAAATCTGTCATCACCCATATCTTATAGAGATATGTTCACGTGTGCCTGTCTGTATGTCTTGTGGAGCGGTGGTGTCATAGTCAATGCACTGCACTACAAACCTGGCAAAAGACAAGATCGATTCCAGCTCACGGTCAACATCGGTAACAAATATCCGAGGCGGTTCTGGGCCTCCACTAGGTCGGTTCAGCCTTAAACGTGTACATGGTGTTGTGTAAACATTACCACCCGTGCGTCACGTTGGCCTCCCACCCCCTCTAGCTCCAGCACTTGCCCCAACAGTCTGTTAAAGGCTATAAGGAGAGTGCTGTCTTTGTTGTGAATATGAAAATACTTTCAAGCAATTATATAGGGTGTAATACACGTGTAGAGAAAACCCCGACGTTACAGTATACTTCCAATGCACATTGTTGCTTTGCGTATATCAGATAAGGGCAAGGAGGATGCGTCTGTGATTATAATTACAGTATGAAAGCGTGACCGAGAACTCCAGCCAGCAGCCTACTGCTGGCCTCACTATACCCCCCATTCCTCATGTTGTCAATGAGCAATTGGCTAACCAGACAAAGCTATTAGCATTTCAAGGCGCGTACATCTTTGGGC